ACTGATGACAGGCGGCAGGGAATAAAGCTGAGTGGGCGCTACCAGAAGAAGCAAACTGAGCGAGGGACAAGGGAGGCAACGGGGAGGACAGGGGGGGATTAAGTAGGAGTTTTGCTCCTTCCAATGTAGGGCGCTCTCCTGATTATAAGCGCAGGTCCCACGGATACAAATTAATTTTTGAAATCTATGCTGAGATACCTCATAACCATATTAAAGGCATATTCATTAGAAAATATAACTCCTCCGGTGTGATACTGCCCTTGCGCTAACACACCAACGTAGCCAGATTGTGTACTGGCTGCTATATGCAACAGAGACCTTACATGCAAGGTCTTCTTCCTACATCTTAAGTAAGGTGTACTGATAAAATATTATTATGTAAATCTATGCTCGGATAATTCCTCTTCATTTTAAATGTTTAATCTTCTCAAAATATTATTCCTTTCGGGAGATATAGCGCATGCGCGAGCATCGTTTCAAGCGTATAATACGGACTGAAGAAAACTGCATAATATAGCTTGCTGCGGGCGAGAGGGGTGGGAGACTGATGGCAGGCGACAGGGAAGGTAGCTGAGTGGGCGCTGGCAGAAAAAGCAGCCTAAGCGAGGGACAATTAAAGGAGGCAACGGGGAGGACGGGAGGGGATAAAGTAGGAGTTTTGCTCCTTCCAAGCTAGGGCACTCTCCTAATTATAAGCGCAGGGCCACAGATACAAATTAATTCTAGAAAGCTATGCTGGGATACCCCATAACCATACTAAATGCATATTCATTAGAAACTATAACGCCTCTGGTAAGATAGTGCACTTGCGCTAACACACTAACTTGGCCAGATTGTGTACTGGCTGGTATATAGAACAGGGACCTTACATGCAAGGTCTTCTTCCTACATCTTAAGTGAGGTCTACTGATGGAATATTATTGTGGAAATCTATGCTCGGATAATTCCTCTTTATTTTAAATGCTTAATCTTTGCAAAATAATATTCCTTTTGGGAGATATAGCTAATGCGCGAGCACCGTTTCAAGCGTGTAATACGGACTGGAGAAAACTGCATAATATAGATTGCTGAGGGCGAGAGGGGTGGGAGACGAATGACAGGTGACAGGGAAGGTAGCTGAGTGGGCGCTGGCAGAAGAAGCAGACTGAGCGAGGGACACGGGAGGCGACGGGGAGGACAGGAGAGGATCAAGTAGGAGTTTTGCTCCTTCCAAGGTAGGGCGCTCTCCTGATTATAAGCGCAGGTCCACAGATACAAATTACTTCCAGAAAGCTATGCTGAGATACCCCATAATCATATTAAATGCATATTCATTAGAAGCTATAACTCATCTGGTAAGATATTGCGCTTGCGCTAACACACTAACTTAGCCAGATTGTGTACTGGCTGGTATATGGAACAGCGACCTTATACTCATCGTCTTCTTCCTACATCTTAAGTGAGGTCTACTGATGGAATATTATCATGTAAATCTATGCTCGGATAATTCCTCTTCATTTTAAATGCTTAATCTTCGCAAAATATTATTCCTTTCGGGAGATATAGCGCATGCGCGAGCACCGTTTCAAGCGAGTAATACGGACTGAAAAAAAAGCATAATATAGCTTGCTGAGGGTGAGAGAGGTGGGAGACTGATGACAGGCGGCAGGGAAGGAAGCTGAGTGGGCGCTGGCAGAAGAAGCAGACTGAGTGAGGGACAAGGGGGCAACGGGGAGGACGGGAGGTGATAAAGTAGGAGTTTGGGTTCTTCCAAGCATGGGCGCTCTTCTAATTATGAGCGCAGGTCCGTGGATACAAATTAATTCCAGAAAGCTATGCTGAGATACCCCATAACCATATTAAATGCATATTCATTAGAAACTATAACTCATCTGGTAAGATATTGCCCTTGCGCTAACACATTAACGTAGCCATATTGTGTACTGGTTGGTATATGGAACAGGGACCTTACATGCAAGGTCTTTATACTACATCTTAAGTGAGGTCTACTAATAAAATATTATTATGTAAATCTATGCTCAAATAATTCCTCTTCATTTTAAATGCTTAATCTTCGCAAAATATTTTTTCTTTCTGGAGATATAGCGCATGCGTAAGCCAGATTGTGCATTAACGTAGCCAGATTGTGTACTGGTTGGTATATAGAACATGGACCTTACATGCAAGGTCTTCTTCCTACATCTTAAGTGAGGTTTCCTGATAGAATATTATCATGTAAATCTATGCTCGGATAATTCCTCTTTATTTTACATGCTTAATCGCAAAATATTGTTTCTGTCGGGGGATATAGCGCATGCAGGGCCACAGATACAAATTAATTCCAGAAAGATATGCTGAGATACCCCATAACCATATTAAATGCATATTCATTAGAAAATATAACTCCTCTAGTGAGATATTGCCCTTGCGTTAACACACTAACGTAGACAGATTGTGTACTGGCTGGTATATGGAACAGCAACCTTACACTCATCGTCTTCTTCCTACATCTTAAGTGAGGTCTACTGATAGAATATTATCACGTACATCTATGCTCGGATAATTCCTCTTCGTTTTAAATGCTTAATCGCAAAATATTGTTCCTTTCGGAGGATATAGCGCATGCGTGAGCACCTTTTCAAGCGTGCAATACGGACTGAAGAAAGCTGTATAATATAGCTTGCTGAGGGTGGGAGGGGTGGGAGACTGATGACATGCGGCAGGGAATAAAGCTGAGTGGGCGCCGGCAGAAGAAGCAGACTTAGCGAGGGACAAGGGAGGCAACGGGGAGGACGGAAGGGGATAAAGTAGGAGTTTTGGTCCTTCCAAGCTAGGGCGCTCTCCTAATTATAAGCGCAAGTCCACAGATACAAATTACTTCCAGAAAGCTATCCTGAGATACCCCATAATCATATTAAATGCATATTCATTAGAAAATATAACTCCTCTGGTGAAATATTGCCCTTGCGTTAACACAATAACGTAGCCAGATTGTGTACTGGCTGGTATATGGAACATGGACTTTGTACGCAAGGTCTTCTTCCTACATTTTAAGTCAAGGTTATTGATGGAATATTATCATGTAAATCTATGCTCGGATAATTCCTATTCATTTTAAATGCTTAATCTTTGCAAAATATTATTCCTTTTGGGAGATATAGCGCATGCGCGAGCATCGTATCAAGCGTATAATACGGACTGAAGAAAACTGCATAATATAGCTTGCTGAGGGTGAGAGGGGTGGGAGACTGATGACAGGCGATAGGGAAAGAAGCTGAGTGGGCGCTAGCAAAAGAAGTAAACTGGGCGAGGGACAGGGAGGCAACGGGGAGGACGGGAGGGGATAAAGTAGGGGTTTTGGTCCTTCCAAGCTAGGGCGCTCTCCTAATTATAAGCGCATTTCCACAGATACAAATTAATTCCAGAAAGCTATGCTGAGATACCCCATAACCACATTAAATGCACATTCATTAGAAAATACAACTCCTCTGGTGAGATATTGCACTTGCGCTAACACACTAACTTAGCCAGATTGTGTACTGGCTGGTATATGGAACAGGGACCTTACATGCAAGGTCTTCTTCCTACATCTTAAGTGAGGTCTACTGCTGAAATATTATCATGTAAATCTATGCTCGAATAATTCCTCTTCATTTTAAATGCTTAATCTTCGCAAAATATTATTCCTTTCGGGGGATACAGCGCATGCGCGAGCACTGTTTCAAGCGTGTAATACGGACGGAACCACCTCTTACAGAGGTATCTCATCCTGGGTACAGGCCTGATACTTCCGGTCGGGTCTCAGCACCCTCCCCCCAACAAGTGTGATGAAATTGAATTTGGCCCATTCAATCCCCGTGAAAATTCAATATCCCAACTCTCAATAGGTCTATTCTAATTTTGTATAAAGCAGGGATTTAACTTTCATGAGCAGTGATAAGACGTGATTTGGGCATTTTGAAAAAATATCGTATATGGGGAATGCATCCAAAATTAACTGTCTGAGTTTCAGTAAAATAATGGCATTCTTGGAACGAGTTACAGACATTTTACAGTAGATGTATGTCACTTTCCATTTGTGTAATAACACATTAGGAGAGTATGAATAGCGATGACGGATTTGTAGATAGCTAAATGTTCAATATTTATTGTCTGTAAAATATGAAATTTTCCCCATTTTCCTCCTGAAAGTAGGTAATTGTACACGCCATCCCCCCACCTCAATAAGTGGGGGGATATACCCCCCCATCCCCGATATCTACGCCCATCATTGTGTGTGTGTGTGTGTGTGTGTGTGTGTGTGTGTGTGTGTGTGTGTGTGTGTGTGTGTGTGTGT